AAGAAGACATGGTGAGATGGTTCAGGAGGACATGGTGAGACGGTTCAGGAGGACATGGTGAGACGGTTCAAGAAGACATGGTGAGATGGTTCAGGAGGACATGGTGAGACGGTTCAAGAAGACTTGGTGAGATGGTTCAGGAGGACATGGTGAGACGGTTCAAGAGGACATGGTGAGACGGTTCAGGAGGACATGATGAGATGGTTCAGGAGGACATGGTGACACGTTGAGGAGGACATGGTGAGACGTTCAGGAGGACATGGTGATATGGTTCAGGAGGACATGGTGACACGTTCAGGAGGACATGGTGAGACAACAGATTTAAGAGAACCCCAAAAGATCTGAACATGAAGTCCTTCATGGACAGTGTCTCGTGTCCTGCAGGACCCTCCTCAAACTAAAGAACTTGTCTGGAGGTCCTGATCCTCATCCCAGACCCTGTAATCTTGTAGATATGGCAAGAAGTTGAGTCAGCAGGAGGTCTCCTGTCTGTCGTGGCTGTTGGTTTTTATTCTTCTCTCCTTTGACCCAGGAGTGAAGTTCTGGACTCGACCCGGATGTTTCTTCGTCCAGATGGTTTCAAATAAAACCCTCCAGCTGTTTTTCTTAACAGAAGTCTGTTTCTGTTCTTTACAAACTCTTCCTGGTGTTCTGAAGGTTCCACTGAGTGGTTCTACAGAACTCACTCAGGTTCTGCTCATGTGGAGGCGGGGCATGACATCATCGATGGATCGGGAGGAGTCACGCATCAGATCTGACGTTTGGTGTTGGGATGTTGTTTAATCGTTGAAGCTTGACACAATGTTCCAGCCGTCGTCTTTAAGTCGCTCCAACGTATGTTTTTGATCTGAGGGAGGAACCGGAGAAAACCCTCGCAGCACGGAGAGAACATGCAAACTCCACGCAGAAAGGTCCCAAGCTGAGATTCAAACCGGCAACCTTCTCACTGAGAGACCACAGCTGCACCAGGTGAGCCACCGTGGCACCACATTTAAAATCCTCTTTACATTAATTAAAAAACGTTCTGACAGAACGTTGACCTGGAACTCCAGCATCTGTGGTCTGTCCATCTGTGTTCTGACAGAACCAAACTCTTATTCTGAAGAGTACCTTTGACCTTTATTTTGAAAGTCCAGGTTATAACTCCTTCCTGTTTGTGTTTTATTTTGGTTTGGATGTTAAATCCAAAGTTCTTCAGAAGTTTTGCTTCAATTCTCAAGATCAAACTGGTCTCGGGGGTCAACCATGACGGAAGAGTTTATCAACCTGCTGATTAATGGAAGGCCCACTGAGTCAGAATCTGCCCGTCACTGGTTGCCATGGAGACCCCCGCCTGTTCTGGGGAACAGAGGGCGGAGCTTAAAGCAACACAAAAGCACAAACTGATGGTCAGACAAACGGTCTCTGTGTGGAAATTTAAAGTTCTCTCCAGAAACCTCTGGACCTGTGAGCAGCAGAAGGTTCTGCTGGTTCTATTTGTAATTCTTTTTTGTCTAAAGTTTTTCATAATGGGGATTTGATGGCTCCAAAAGAGTCTCAACTTAGAGATTTGAAGGGGAAGCTGTGGCGGCTATCAGTGCTCAGAGGTGACCATCCTTCCACCTCATCGCATGTTCTCCGTGAACAGAAAACATCCTGAAAGAACGACAAGTTGTGGCTCCTGAAGGGACCGGCTTGCTGGTCTGGATCTAAAAGCAGAGGAGGTGACCTATTTCAAAGGTTACTTTCTCAGCCCTGTGGCTGGATTAGAAAACAAAGCATGAGCGCTATATTTACCCTGTTCCTTATCTGATGCTGCAGCCTCATCGTGATAAGAAGAGCGCCCCCCCCACCCCACCCCCTGGATGAATGCATGTCCTCGCAGCGCTGCAGCCACGAATAACAAGCCGCCATCATCCAGCCCACTGTGTGACTGGCCACTGGCAACGCAGCGATTTCACGCACTGGATACAGCCATTAGGAGGCTCGGACAATAAAGTTTGTCGTGCGGAGCTGAACACGTGGAGCTTTAAGAACCAGCCGAGATAAAATCACAGCGTCGAACATGACAAAAAGAAAAATGTTCTCAGACAGCAAGAGAACAAGGACTGGACTGATACCATTCATTTTATATTTAGTATTTTTTTATTGTTTTATAGATAGGAATTTATGCTGGCTTTAAAAAATTGTGTAATTTTTACCAGTGGACAGAGGAATCTCTAACAAGGTTACACAGCAACAAACAAATAATATTATATAATATTACATATCATATCACATATCATATCTTATCATATTATATCATATCATATTATATTATATCACATATCATATTATATCATATTATATCATATTATATCATATC